TTACCTTTGTCATAAGAATTTATAACTATTTATACTGAAGGTTATTGTTAAGTGTCAATGTCATTTCAACACCTTCATACCTAACGTGTATCGCCAATGAATATACAGAATGATTCTGTAAAAGCCGAAGCAAATTGTAAAGAGTGCTAAAATAAAAAACAAACGCTAGTGATTTTGCCCGCATTACCTATTATTATTTTAAACAAGTGTGTACCACACAATCAAATTAACGATAGGTACTCAAATAATAATTGTAAAGGCTTAAAAATAAAATAGATTTCCATTTCAAAGGTTAAAATTTAAACTCAAATAGTGTCTAAGTAGATTTATTTATTTGTGGCGACAATTTTTATTTAATTCAATTTTTTTATTTTATTTATTATTAATGTGACGATATTGGAATAACTATTTTCTTTCTTTACACTTACTATTAGTGGAAAATGTTTATAGATGTAATTTAAGTACGCGAAAGTAGTACCTACCTTTTGACTAACCATTTGAGATAAGAACTTTCTTTTGCGTTAGTTAATTTTTATAATTAAAAATGTAAAAAGGTTTTCTTCGTCTACAACTGTTTTACTTTTTTATACTTCCATTAACGATTTTTTTATTTACGGTGTTACAATTATGTAACTGTACAAATACAAGTTCTATAGAGATCAAGAGACCAACTCGGTTCTTAACACAGTTAGTAACATCCGCCCAGTCCAGACATCTAAACGTCATCTGGTTTCAGTGCCCCTAGGCTATAAACATTCTCGATCCATCATGCCATTCATTGTACGTCTTAAGACAAAAGGTGGACTGGATATTTAATAAGTAGGTACCCTTAAATAATTTAAAATTTCTCAGAAACTGAGTAACGGGACCAATGGAATGTAATGTTATAATTTTTTGCACAATTTGGTACGTAATCATAAATTCTAGACCAACTTGAATTAAGGATTTTTCGAATTTTAAATTTGCATTCGTTCAGTTTATTACGGATTTTTTTTTTTGAAAACGAATATACAGGGTGGTCCCAAGGTAATGGACCAAAATTCATGGGTAAATTCCCGAAGCAAAAATATTGCAATATAGCCGAACTTATCTAAGTCCAAAAGTTAATAGTTAAAGAGATACAAGGTGTTAAATGTAAAATATTATGTTAGTTTATTTTCGTTTATTTCTTAATAAATGCAAATGTCCACACAAAATTTTAGGGTTTGGGGTTCTTTGGGTCGAGGAATTGAAATCTGTTCACATTTTGGCTATAGTTCATAGAGGGCGCTAGCTGCAGTAGATTGAATGGGTTTAAAAATGACAGTTTTCTTTACTTTAAGGTATCTCATCGTTGCGTTGGCATCAAATTCTTATTTTCAAACATTTTTAACACAAAAACTTTATGAAAGAGCTGTCTCGCACTGTATTCGAAATATTTGGCTGTGAAACTTTCAATGTTGTTCCTTTAAATTACAGTTAAGTACCTATTTAGTTTAGCGGTAAAGTAGGCTTTGGACGAAAATCAATTAATTGACGTTTTCCACTTGTCTTATTCACATTAGCTTTATTTCGTATTAGCTGCCCATTTTTCATCAAATTGGGTTTAAAGCGTTTTGATCCAAAATGACTCGAGCTCCTGACAAGCACACAGTAAGCTTCTAATATGATTTTAATCAACGAATCAACAATAAAAAAAACTACGTCGAAATAATAGTTTATATGAAATTTAAATCTATTTGTGCATATATCAATATAATTTGTTTTAAATTAACTAATACCATCCATCATCACTTGAGTACAAAGTTCAAATCGAAACTGGTTCGTCGGTATGTTTCGTTAACACAAACTGTTTTAATTATTATTAAACGAGATTGTTAGACTAATATTTCTTACGATTTAAATCCAAGGTAGTATTAATAAACAATATCTGTAAAATAAGTACATATGAACTGAATATCTGACTTCAAAAACGTACAATGAGTTAACATCGAACCAGAGAGATGTGATAGTACTTAAATAAATAGGGTTTTTCATATAATTTTTTTTTCAAAAATATTCCTTCGAGATACTCGTATAATAGAGTTTTCGTTCTCAAAACTCTAATCAACATGACTGGAAGGCAAATAATATTTAAATGAAATGTTAACAACTTATTACGTGCTAGAATGTTTAAGCGAAAGAGGTTATTTATTTAAAATATCTCTATCTTATTAGTGTGGCAAAAATATGTACCTAATTAAATAGAAAAATAATAAAATGCCTCAAATCCAGCAATCATGACATATATTTTTGTAGCTACATATGGACAACTCATTTTAAATAAAGTATTTTTATCAATAAATCCTAGATAAATCGAAAAAAATGTAAGTCTAAAAATTTCTAATAATATACAGGGGTGTTTGTAAATAAGTGCGATATATTTTAGGGAGTGGTTGCCGAAGTAATTCTGTGAAAAAGAGTTCATTAAACGTAGGACGAAATATGCTTCGTTTCCGAAATACAGAGTATTTAAATTATAAATTTTTATTTATTTTTATTATTTCAGTTTTAAAAATAGTGACTCGAAATTTGAAATATGCTTTGGAGGGATAAATGTGCATTTTTTGGAGTGATCGGAATATTTTTACTTGCACCAGTGGCGTTCTTGAGAGAATACCACCATTTTTAATTTTAAAAAATGGTACGCCACTGACTTTTCCCGTTTTGATATTTTTTTGAAATCCGCCATCAATACTGAATAAAATAGGTCTCTTTAATTTTTTTTGTAGGATGAACCGTTTTTTAAGAAAAAAATAAAACATTTTATTGTAGGTTTTGTTATCTTTTATTTAAAGCGTTATTATGGCCAAAGTAAAAATGCAATTGAACGTTGTAAATCGAAAGTTGATACGAGTGTGTGTAAAAAATTCTTCGATTTCGAGATACAGGATGTTCAAATTTTAATCTTTAAATTTTTTTCTCTTGAATATTTCAAAAACTTTTATTATCTAATACAGTAACATTAAACTAAAACAATAACACAAAACAACAGTAATAAAAATATTTTTTAATAGTCGAAAATCTACAACCTACATGTTGAAAAAGACCTCCCTCACAAATGATACAACAATCAACTCGCCTCATTGACTGTCGTATTGGCTGAAATATTCCTACTGTATTTCTTATTGTCTCACCGGCTGTAATTCGATTCCTCAGGTCTTCAACATTTTCAAATTTCGAGTCAATATCTTTAAAACTCTGAAATAATTAAAAAAATAAATAAATAATTAAAATTTAAACACTGTATCTCGGAAACGACGCATATTTCGAGCTACTTTTATATGAACTTTCGGCAACCACGCCCTAAAATATTTCGCACTTATTTACAAACACCCTGTATTTCTAATTTTTATTTCAAATTTAGCGATTTTTAGATAAATGTTCTGCTGATTATCCTTATTTAATTTCAAAACTTCTCTCACTTCAGATAATATATGAGGCATATCTACAAAGAATACTCAATCGAAACGATAGTATATTTATGAAAAATATTTGATACCTTCGTCAAAAAAATTGTCTGTCGCCTCTCGGACTCATTGTCCACCCATAAACACACTCAGAGAAGAGAAAAGATAAAAATCAGGAGGTACCAGGTCAGGGCTGTGAACGGGGTGGTTGATAATGTTCCAATCGAATGAATCCAAGAGTGTCATGCAAAAAGTCAATAGGGAGAATCTCTTTATTGTCTCAAAACACAGTTGCCATGATTTTTCGGACCGAAACAACGATTTTCAATTTTTTCGCTGATAGTGAAAACGGATGTCGCCACTGCATTAATAGTCCAGTCACTGAAGGCGAAAATAAGGTAAAAGCTCCCAATTTTTTCGGATAGCATAGATTTTCCTGAAAATTTGCATACAAACTCATCTGATCCCCCACTTCAAAAGTCTAGATGTGTGCTTTTACCCTAGGGGTGGATGCCACCCCTTGTGGATGGTGGGAATTTTTTTATTAAAAATAACCTCAAGATTCGATAGAGGAATGAATTCTAAGCAAAAAATGTTCTATAAGAATTTTTTGTGCAGTCAATACTTTTTGAGTTATTTTCGTCTAATTCAGTGACTGGTCAAGGAATTGTTAACCTGGCGGGATTCGGAATAGCGGTACTCGTTTCAACACGCCACTACAACAACAGTTCTCAACTGACTGAGAGAAAATAGGGCGCGTTCTGCTCCCAACACTTTGGCCTTGAATGCAGTGTTGCCAACTTTGTCGAAAACAAAAACAAAAGAGCATCATAATCTCGGCAGTCTTACTTTGTGGCTATGCCTCGTACTATCACCTGCACTCCATTTCGACGTTATATCTGACTCATTTTATGTACATTATCTTCTGCATTAAAATTCTATGTACAGGGCATTTAAAAAACACGCGTTTTCAGTCTATGATGCAAAAATATAACCAAAAATATTTCCGAAATAACAAGAAGTTTAACTGGGTTTGAAAACTACTTAAAACAATAAACTTATCAATACAAATGACGGACAGTTTTATTAGGCACAAGGGTTAGCACTGAAACAATTTTGTAAAAAAAGTATGCACCTACATCACTAAAGAGAAGTTCTTTCTTGTATTATTTTTGTTTCGTTTATTACATAAATGTAGCACATCACATTCAAACAGCATCAACTAAATAATTACGCCCGCAGCTTGCTGTTTCGACAGAAGAAACTCCGAAACTGGATATTAAGTCCTCTCCTCCGTATTCATATTTATCGTGTGCTGGTCTATGCGAGGTCTACGGCATTTGCAGTGCGTGGTTTGAAGTCACCGACCAATGACGCCCCGGTCTTCGGTTTTTACGTATGAATAACTTCCAAATTCCAGGTAGTTACTACTAAACCATCGTCGTAGAAATCATTCTGATATTTGAAAGCGTCAAAATGTCTGAACCGACGACGTGGTTATCAGCACGGCGACTGTTTCACCATTAACGAGCCTACAAACCAGGCTCAAACAGTATTAGTCAGAGTTCCGTAAAACTCTCATATTATATTTGTGATGTGATGTGAGTGATATGTGTCCGGCTGAAGCCTTACAATGAAGCTGATGGCAATCATTTTCACTATTATCTGTGATTTTATACAGGTACATTTAAATAATAAACAACAAACTAAAGCCGCCTTAGATTTAAGATTATGATTTTTAATACTTTGCATAATAAAATTGCATTTATCTATAGGTACCTCCTTACCGAAGACAGAATCGGAAAAGTAGTAAATAACTTTTATTAGGCACATAACTGTCCACGTAACTGTGTATATAACGCAAAGAAGTCAGTGGCATACATGTTTTTTTTTAAATTATATATAAGTATCAGTCAGTATTATAATATCTTTAGTTATATCTTTAGTATTATTATCACTTTTATTCACTTCTTTTGGAATAAGATAGACAATGAAAGAATAACATTGTACATATACGATCCATTAAGTCTGTATTTTAGAAAATTTATCGTTGCACATTAAGAAAATAGTAAGTAAACGTATATATTTGTCGACCCTATATCTTATCGTTAGTAAATAACCACAGATTAATGTTTATGTGGTTGCTAAGCATCTGAAAAAACTTTCAATTATAATACGTGCTTCTTTTCGAATTGATGAATATCAATATTTATACTTTTTGTATGTAACTTCATAAAATATTTTCTCAGTAAAATTTAAAAAAATGGTTTTGTTTATTCCATATTTGTTTAAATTGACTTTCTTAACTTGCTGTTATTTATATCTAACGAATTCAATTTTTCATATTTTTTTTGCTTAAATAAAGTTAAGTTTAATTAAATGTTATAAAACGTAAAATGAGGTTTTGAAAGTAACCATACCTACATGTACTTCTAGGTAACAACAAATTCCCATAACGTCATGGGTTTTCGTACACTCGAAATAACCATAAGTTGTAAGTTTAACGAGTTATTGCACTAAGTAGGTATATCCAAGTCGCATAAATGGAAAGTGGACAGAGAATTTTTGTGTCTTACCTAAAAAACAACATAAACAGCAAGGATTTGTTTAAATTACAATAGAAGAATTTTTAGAAGCAATGCAAAAATGAAAAGACTACTTTCATGTTTTTTTTTTCTATTATTTTTAGTGTTTAGTTCAACCACCTTGCAATTAGAGAACCTTTAATCAATCCAGGGTTTAAAGCGGTTGATTTTTAATGACATTTAAAGTAAACTCATGAAATTAGGCTATTTTAAGTAAATGTAGTTAAAAATTCACTGGACAAAAATACCCCACATATTCCACATAATATTTTCTATTTTGAAAGAAAACATTTTCAGTTTGCGTTAATAAATCGAAAATAACTCCGAAGTTACTATACAAAAAATATTAAAAAATGTGCCTAGAAATACAAGTAGATACACAGAGGGAAATATCTTCTAATCATAAGTAACTAGGCCCATTCAGTGATATATAATTTTAAACTTTTTCTTTAATTTTCTGATAGTATTTAACCACCTAAATACAGGGTGTTAAAAAAAGAGTGTAAAATATTTAAGGAGGTAATAGTATGAACCAAAATAAGCAGAAAAGTCCCAACAAACATGGGTCCGCAAAGTAACGGTTGCGGAGATATGGAATGTTTTATGTTTTTAGCCCCTTTTTTTTTATTTTGCAAAAACGTTGTGTATTTTCTTATAATAGTTGGTTGATGTTTAGTGAAATAAAGAGTACGTATTTGACAGTTGTTCTCAGTGCACAAGTTTTCTTTCGCTATGGCTGGTTACTCTAACGCAGAATTAACAGACATGCATTTCATGTATGGTCGTGCTAATGGGAACGCCACCGAAGCGCGACGTCTTTATGTTGACGCTTATCCAAATCGCCAGATTCCTTCACAACGCATGTTTGGAAGAATTCACCAAAGATTGCGTGATACCGGTTCCTTGAGCAAACAGTGCCATTTATCCGGAAGACCAAGGTCGGTATCCACTCCTAGAGCAGAAGAAGAAATTCTAGCACTGGTAGAGCAGAATCCAGGTACGAGTGTGCGGAGAATATCAGCCGAGGTAGGAATTAGTGGTCCTCTTGTTTGGAGAATCCTTCACGAGCAACTGCTTTATCCATACCATGTGCAACGAGTACAGGCCTTAAATCCAATAAATGATCATCAAGCACGTTTGGTTTTTTGCCGCTGGTTTCTACGTCATGATGCTGAAGACCCTCGTTTTCTTGCAAACATTCTTTTTACTGATGAGGCCGGGTTCACAAGAAATGGAGTGTTTAATTTTCACAATACGCATATTTGGGCCGACGAAAATCCTCATGCTCTAATAGAATCTGGACATCAGGCACGTTTTTCATTAAACATTTGGATGGGTATTGTAGGTGACAGGTTTCTAGGTCCTGTTGTTTTACCAAACCGATTAACAGGCGCTGCTTACCTCAACTTTCTGCAGAACACACTGTATGAGTTTTTGGAAGACATTCCTTTGAATCAGAGGCAACAAATGTGGTTCCAGCATGATGGTGCTCCAGCTCATTTTTCCATGGCCGTTAGAGAGCATTTACACCAAACTTTTCCACATAGATGGGTAGGAAGGGCCGGACCTGTTTTATGGCCTCCAAGATCGCCTGATCTGAACCCTCTAGATTTCTTTGTTTGGGGATATTTGAAGACATTAGTGTATGGTACTCCTGTAAATAGCCTGGAAGAGCTGCAGCTACGGATTAATCAAAAGTGTCAAGAAATCCAAACCAAGGAGGGTGTTTTCGAAAGAGTTCGAATATCGTTGAGACGAAGATGTCGTGCCTGCTTGGAAATGGACGGAGGGCACTTTGAACATCGTCTGTAACTTTGTTTTTCGTTTGTTAAAAGCTTCCTTTGTCGGTTTATTCCTAATAAAATAAAATGTTTGAAAAACGAATAGTGGTCCATATCTCCGCAACCGTTACTTTGCGGACCCATGTTTATTAAGACTTTTCTGCTTATTTTGGTTCATACTATTACCTCCTGAAATATTTTACACTCTTTTTTTAACACCCTGTATATGTTAAAAAAATTAAGACAATAGGATTAATAATAAGTGATATATTTAATTCTGAATTTGTAAGACCCTTAAAAAGGTCAACACTACGGGAGAACAGGTAATGACGTCACGATACCGGCCACTCGGCGATCAAGTCGCGAGCAGTCGGAGAGATGTGTAGATATTTGCTATACTTTTACCTATATTATATACCTATATTTCTAAGTGTATAAATAGAAAGTGTATAAGACATATACATCAAGTCTTGTTGAAATGCATTTTTCACACAACAAATTTATTACAAACATAGAATGACTTGGAATACATTTTCGCTTTTCTACATTTTTATACAAATGTACCCAACTTACTAGACTCGGCTCTTGTGGATGTATGCGACGACGTGTATGTGCCAGTAGTACTTTGACTAGTATTTGAAGCAACTCAGAACCACCCTCGTTTTTCTTTGGTTGCCCGTCTAGGGGGTTGTAAAATATTATTATTTAAATAAATTGCTTATAGGTCCCTCTCGCCGTATTTCGAAATTTTTGTGGACGGGAACATTTAAATGGGGTAGAATTTTTTTTTTCGGCATAAATTTTAAAATTCTGCCAAATAATAATATTTACAACCCCCTAGACGGACAACCAAAGAAAAAAGAGAGTGGTTCTTAACTGCTTATAGGTCCCTCTCGCCCGACGTATTTCGAATTTTTTGTGAACACGAACATTTAGATGAGGTAGAATTATTTTCCGACATAAAGTTGAAAATCGTACTCTAAAACTTTTAAAACAAAGATAGTAATTGTCAAAATTGTCTCACGTTCATAACAGTCTCGTCGAAAAAGAGAACTAAAAAACTTTTGGGGTTAAACATGTTAAATCTGCAAACTTTAACTGCCCTATACTGTCTATGCTATTTATTGGGCATTGCCAATTCCACCAAGGCCACTAACTAAGGAAGGTCGAAGAGGCTCAGTGTCAGCTGTCGTTACAGAACGAGAAGGCGACTGATTACATAATATTATGTATCTGAGCGGCAGAAAAACGGATCGCTATATTCAACAAATTACAGTTCTTGTTGGATCTGCCCAAAACCTCACCCAAGTGGGTCATTATGGCTTCATGAGAAAGCTAAATCTTGAAACTTAAACCAAACGAGCCCAACCTTTACCCGAGTTTTCAAATTCAGTTTAGTTTCAGATAATGCCTTCACATTTAGAAAGGGTAATACTAAACTATTTTCAGTCTATCGTTTGCCATGACCACCAAAATATCCAGATCTTTCCTTCTTGAAATCTATGGGACATATCTATAGAAAATTGATTAATTTACCACATCCACTCTGACTGATATCTCTTCATCATGAGATATACGTGGCCTGAAATTACAACCTTTTGTAAAGGTATAAGGATATCTGGTAGGATATACCTTAATGTCTCAGATATATACGACTTAGGCTATGACTAGCTATTGGACATTCGACAGACATATTGTTACAAATCAGGATATCCACCAAATACCACCAAGGGATATATCATTTGGACTATATGCTATCCACGAGACGATCTGAGAATATCAGAATATTATGGCAGATATAGACTATGTTTCGAATATTCATACAAATTACTATGTTCCTTCAATGTACGTTCCAGGAACACATAGTTGACGTTAAAGCTATCTGGATCTCCAGGCGACATTTTAATATTTTACCTCAATGTCTTAATTTATTCGATTCTTTACTATCAATAACAAATTGAATACCAGTTCAGTAGCTATCAAACATATTTAAGTACAATTCAGTTGAACAATAAAATGTGATTGAATTACAAATTTTGCACATAAATGAAAAGAATGAGGGTGTAGGAATATTACGGCACATATAGATTATCTTTCAGATCTCCGAGAGGTAACTGATTCTTACAAATGAACGTATCTCCTTAACGTATCTGCCAGGAACACGTGGTTGACGCTATAACCTGTCAAACAGGGCAACCTGAGAATGTTTGAATATTATGAAGGTATCTTCTGAATATCCAGGTGACACTTTTTTATTTTTACATCAATGTGTTGATTTATTTCAGTCTTTACTATCAAAAACACATTGAATACCG